CTGCTTTCTGCACTTTTTTTTTTTTAAGATTTTTTTAAATTGGGGAATTGGGAGAGGGGAACAGTGTTGGGAAATTGGGGAAGGAGAACAGCCAAGTTGTTGTTTTTCGATCTTTGTTGTGGTGGGCACCAGTCGCCATCTGGCTTCCCATCGGCAGCTCGTGGCCTTTAAGCTCAAGGTGCTGTGTTTAATCTTAGTTGCAGGTGGGCGTAGCCACCATCCCATGCGGTAGTCGAACCAGCAGCCTTGTTAAGTGTTAAGAGCGCATGCTCTATCCACTGAGCCATTTGGGCGGCAGCTCAGCTCAAGGTGCAGAATTCAGTCTCAGTTGCGGGTGGGTGTAGCCCACCATCGAACAGGCAATCTTGTTGTTACACCAGCTGAGCCATCCTGACACCTGTTGGCAGCTCAGTGACAGCTCAGCTCAGGCGCAGCGTCACTGGCCCATGTGGGAATCGAACCGGTGGCCGTGTTGCTCAGAGCTTGCACTCTTAAGCCAACTCTTAACCAACTGAGCCACTCGGCCGGCCCCTGCTTTCTGTACTTTTGTATCAGATTTTGCCCTGTGTTTTGCCTACTCTGATAAATGCAAACTTGAATGAAGCATTCAATATCATTTCTCCAAGATGCCAAGATTCTCCTGGGCCTGGAGGCACATCGTACCTGGGGTATGGTCATGGCTTCCCTCGTCAAGTGTGATCTGGTTTCCATCAAATTTGCTAAACCCTCCTGGCCAGGTGCCTCTCTGAGGATGTCACTCCTCCAGTCTCTTTGCAGAGGGTTCCCCACCCAGGTCCCATTGGCACGCTGGTACTCTGCCTCCCTTGATCCTTTTCTCCAGCAGAAGAAGCTAAGTCTGAAATCAAAACATTGTCTTCTATGATTGCAAATGACTTCTATTTACATTTGTGTGCCTTTTAAAAAGACGGCCTGGTTACTGGGTCTGAGGCAAGCGTTTTGGAAGTCCTTAGAGCTGTGTGTCTTCAGACTTGAGTGAGCAGAGTACGCTGGCTTTGTTTGCCCCTAGTTGTCTATGAAACCTCTAGCAATGTGCTAGTTTTTCTTTTTTCTTCTTTTCAACATGTACAAATTCAATTGCTGCAAAACCCCTAAAAACCACATTTCCCCAACTTCTCTTATGTGTGATGAGACTCCTAATTCATTCCCTCACCTCTCTTTTGATGTTACTTCTCTTTTTATTTATTTTTCTTGTTAATTGTACACATTAAGGGAAACCAAAGGGCTGGTTTCTTCTCCCATCCATCCTAACTCAGGGCATATTGCCCATGTACTAAAATAAAATTAACCTTTATTCCTAAAGAGTATCCTAGTTTGAGGACTCACGTTCTCTCTCACACTGCCTTGTTTTATGCACTGATAAGCTTTGAACTCTGCCCTGGGGCATAGTGAATTGATTTTGAACGCCAATGTTTACTCGTTAAACAGTCTATTTGTTATTGATCCAACTCTCACACCACACAGCCCTCTTTTTTTGACTTTAGCTCTATAGTTAATCCTTTTAGTACTCTAGTTAGTAAAATGAGAATTGTCCCTTATTTGGTGGGTATATAGAAGATAGAAGTGGATTGCAACATGTGTTATGATCCTCAGAACAAAGGTCCTGGTAAAATGAAAGTATCGCTATGGTTATTATAAATTAATAATAACAGAAGTTTCCATCGTCAACATGTGTATGCATAGCCTCTCCCCTGCCAGTCTTTTAACTTTTGCTTGTCACATTTGGTGGCACAGTTTTTTCTGAGCATCAGCTGAATTCACACTCAGGTGGAAAGAGCCCTGTAGGGTTTAACTTGAGTCCTGGCCTTTCCATTAACATGTGTGAAGCCAGCCAAATTAATCTCTCTTATTTTGCAAACTGTAAAATTCACAATTCAGACCCCCCACCCCCCACCCCCCAGTAAGGGAGTTATTAGTGATCTGGATTACCATGGTTAAAAAAAAAGAAAAGATAGAGAAAATTAAAATTAAAAGAGAGAAAGAAAAAGAAAGAGAGACTTTCACCTGTAGGGAAATTTCACCTTTTGAGAGAAGAGATTTGGGGNCAAAGGTCTTCTCTCTCTTTTGTCTTCTCGTGACACTTAGAATTGACTCTACTTTTCATTTGGCATTTATGTCCTGCCTTCTGTTAAGCAATACCTTTCTTACTGTTTAGATCTTACTTAGATCCAGGACTACACTGTAAGACCCTGGAGGCAGGGATGTTGTCTTAAGCCTCTTTGAAAATCTCTACTTCAAGTAAAGGAACTTTGCACAGAGTAGGTAGGGACTCAATAAACACTTGTTAAACACATTCATGACTGAAACCCTTTGTACACATTTCACTATCTTCCTCTCTCCACTGTTAGTATGATAACAAGTGTACCTATTTCATTAGAACTCCTGCAAAAGGGATAACTGCTGGGAAATAAAAACTCTCCAAGACATCAGTGAGTAATCGAGGTTTAATTTATTCCAACATTCCCAAGAACAGCTGATTTGCTTTTCCACAAGGGTCTGCATTTTTGCTGTTATAGAAATATGTGGGGATTTCTGATCAGGCTGGAGGGGGAGCTATTTTATCCACAGGTGTTGGCAAGGCTGACAAGGAGCACCGTGCTCAATCCTGCCCATAGAGGGACTATCACAATAGAGGCCGCGCTTACTTCTCTTGTCCTTTTCCCTCCCTTTCCCTTGGTTTCTCAGTACTGACATGAGAGAGCCCCCTCCTCCCCAACTATAGGAATTTTAAGTCTCCTTTCCCCTAGTTTCTTAGCTCCCTAGTTCTTGATCTTAATCACCTTTCAAATCAGCTTTTTAATCTTAAGCAGAATATTGTTTCTAGCCTGAATCTACCCCTACCCCCTGCTCCAGACTATTCCAGGCCCAGCTCCTGGGTGAATAACACCACCTGAATGACTGGTTAAACCAGAGGAAAAAGCCACAGGCTCCATGAAACTAAACAGAATTCCCATCACACAGCCACCTTGCATCTATGGCTTTGGGTCCTGCTTCTTGGGCCAACGCTTTTAACTCTGTTTAACCAAAATCTATCTCTCCTCATCTAGGGGCCGATGGGACAAATGAGGCAAGATTTCCAGTACATCTTGTCCAAAGAGGTCAACACGGACTTGTGGGCGGATCCTGAGACGGCTTCCCCTCATCTAAGATCAGATAGGGCGAGAGTTCTGTGGATCCTCAATAGGTAGGGACAACGGCCACATTCAGCAGGAATCAGGCACAGAAGTAGAGATCTCCTGTTCCTCAACTTCCCATAGAGGTTTATGGGGATCACGTCTCTCAAGGGGGACATAAGGCAGGCAGTTAGAGACAGGAATNAGGACGTTGCTTCACTGGCCCATGTTGGTATTATCATTGCGCTCTTCCCGGGTGAGGCAGTCACTTGCCAGGCCCTGGACGGCCTCTCACAGCGGCTCTTGGCAGCTCACGCCGGCTGCTGGCCACTCACAGTAGCTTTACAGCAGTCCACTGCAGCCTATGCCGTCCCCAGCGACTCACGGCAGCCCATGAGGGATCCGAACTGCAGCCCTACAGCTCAGAGCTGGCATCTCAAGTCAACTCTTAACCAACATGCTACTCAGCTGGCCCATGAGTCCTGCTTCTTCAAGAAAGAATCTAGAATTCACTCACATGTCTTTCCTCGCAACTAGAGTTCAGGCAAGTTCACCAGGCTCTACCAGTCACAGGAATCTGTATGAGACTGACTGAGGAGTGACTCTGTGAGGAAGCAGGCACCATGAGGAATCCATCATTTGGCCAGGATGGCGGTGAAGGCATCAAGCTTTTTTAGAGGACAGTTATGGTGAAGGTTCTGTCATTGGATATCCAGCACCGTTAGGACAACTTGTTTGTTGTATTCATGCCTAGGTGGGCCCTGCCTGGAGTCAGCCTGTGGTTTGGCTACAGTATGTTCATGGATCAATAGCCTCCAAACCAGATTCTCTGACTCTCCTTCAGATTCTGGGAGACAGTTAATATACATCAGTTGTTCAACTCTTCAGATAAAAACGGCTGGAATGGGTTGGCCACTAAGAATCTCTTTAATACATAGTGCAAAGCAGAGAGCAGGTGTTCTGTGATATTTGCTGAATGGAATCATTAAGTAAGATTTTAAACACTATATACATAGGAAGTTAGGAGGATTTCTCCTCACAAACTGCTTGACATCATCTACTCTGGTGAACTGCATAATCCCTTAAGATATTTGTGGTCCCTCCTTGGGGAGGATTAAATTTATCTGCCTCATTGACATAGGCTTGGCCATGGCTTGCTTTGGCCAGTGAAATCTGAGCAGAAGTGATGTGTATCACTTCTGAACAGAAGCTTTAAGAGCCAGCATGTGATCCTCTAGGTCCTTTTCTTTTCACTCTCTACTAAGAGTCAGGCAATGTTCCAAAAAGAGGCTACTCTGTTAGCTGGTGTCCCAGAAACAATGTCACATAAAGCCAAGATGAAGCTGACCTGCAATTAACATGCAGCATGATGGAGCTACAAGTCATTGAGATGTTGACATTGTTGGTTTCCATAGCATAACCTAACTTGTCCTAATGGATACACTCATGTATAGATGAAGACACTAAGGACAAATGATAATTAAGACAGGATTTGAATCCCAGCATTTTAACGTCAAAGCCCATTCCATCTTAACCACATGCTAACCCCTATCCAGCTTCATCATGAAGACAAAAGAAAAAATTATCACCAGTCATTTATATAATTTTAAAAATGATAGAAATAGCCACACACCCTGAAGATATTTAAAGCATTATTAAACAGCACCTTGCAAGACAATAGGCAAATGCACTTGGAAACTTAGATAAGAGGCTAATTTTCCAAGTAACAAAATTAACCTCAGAAGATATAAAGACAGGAAACAGAACAACAACCACAAAATACATTGAAAAATTTATTAAAGGTCTATCCACCCACCTTCTTGACTCCTAAATCTGCTGGCCACCGCTGAAAATGTCAGGTCTAGATCAATTCATGGGTGAATTGTTTCAAATCTTTGAGTAACAGATAATTCCAGTGCTATTTAAATCGTTCCAGAGCATTGAGAAGTATACAAAGCTTTCAAATTATTTTTAGAAATCTAAAGTAACATTGTTCCAAAGCCTTGCAAAGATAGCACTAAAAAAGAAACCTATCATCCAATCTCATTTAAGAGTAAGGATGACAAATCCTAAATTAAATATTAAAAATACATAATTCAGCCAAACAGTAAAATACAGCAGGTGAATTCATTTTTGAAAACTAAGGATAGCTCAGTTCATGACATATATTATGATAATGCACAATATTAATATAAATCAAAGGGAAAAACATTAATCTCAATCAATGACCAAAAGACATTTAATGAAATTCAATACTCAATCCTTATTTAAAAACACAGACAAACACACAAATGCATAGGAAAACTATAATGGATGGATATTTTCTTCATCAAACAATAATAACAGATATTTCCAATGCTGTCAGCATTAGACTTAAGGGGAAAACACTAGAAAATTTAAGGACAAGGTTTCCTCTCAGATATTGTTTGCTATGCTGTCTATTACAGTTAGATAAAAGTATGAATTAGCGATATAAATATTATATCAAGAAAACTAAGAAAAGAAAAATGTAAAAGTATTAAAACAATGAGATCTCAAATATATACATTTTTACAAAAGTAATAAGGACACACACACACACACACACACACACACACACACACACAACTTGTTTCTTCCTAAAATGGAATAAGAGGGACTAAATTTATCTTCCTGACTGAAACAACCAAAACTGATGAAATATATGAAACAATAGTTTTTGAAACATTAGACATCTGGCAAAGAAGGACAATGATTCCTGATAGACAGAAAACAAATATTATGAATCCTACAATTGTTCCAGCCTACTGCTTCTAGAGAGCTTTCAGGCTGTGGTGGAGGGAAGGGAAACCAAGCAGAGCTCAGCTGACCACATGAGTTGAGGAGATTGTTAATGGAAAGAGTGATAATTCAGGGAATAGAAGAAAACTTTAAAAATCTATAATTAAAACCTTCAAAGGGTCAAGGGCAGTTACTGCATCTGTAGAATAAGACTAACATCCTAGTGAAAAGAGCAGTCAAAGACAAGAAAGAATTCTTGGAAGTTTGAAATATGAGACAAGGAAATAAAGGAAGGTAAGAAGATAAAGTTGGAGAACTCTTGGCTGTAAAACAAAAAGACAAAGAGAGATTCAAGATGGCGGAGTAGCTAAGCACTGTGTCTTCATCTTTTCATGAACATATTAAGATTACAACTAAATAATAGAACAGTCAACTTGGAGAACCATCTCAAGTCTAGCTGAACAGAAGTCCTGTAACTGAAATTATAAAAAAGCCACGGAGAGCCATAGGAGGGGGAGAGACTCGAAATGTCCCCCAAACCTCCCTGTGGCAGTTGAGAACCAGGAGGGATATCTCAGCTGTGGAGGTTCTCCCAGAGGAGCAAAGGACCCCAGCTCCCCACACCAGGCTCCCCAGCCCAGGGGACCCCACAACATTTGGCTGTGAAAATCAGTGGGGATTCTGACTGTTCAGATGGGACAGAAGGCTGCAGGAAACCCAGACATCCTCTTAAACAGCCCACATGCAGACTTGCTCTGAGGCACACACCTTGGACTCCAGCAGAGGGTCAGTGATTCAGGGGGGACTCGGAGACATACAGGTGGCAGACTGAGGTGTGTGGCTTCAGGGGAGGACTGGAGGACAGTCAGCTTTTTCTTGGTAAGGGGTCCTTCTCCCATGCAGCCGGCAGGCAGGCACCATCTTTCTTATGTTGAACCCACCCCCACAGGCCAACTCTGAATCTGATTGGCCTGCTGAGCTTTGCTGCCCTGCCCTGCTGACTCAGCTGGGAACCCACCTGACCCAACTTGTCCAACACCAGAGGTACTTTCTCCCAGAGCGGCCAGCCCTGCCTGAATTGCACTTGCTTGGAAAACTATTAAAGTCTGCAGGCCTCAGGTGGGCAGCAAACAGCCTTGGTGTGCTCTGAGACTTTTGCTGAGTAGCTCTAAGCTCAGCACTGGAACAATACCAGAGTCTACATTAACCTGGTGACCAGAACGCTTTCCACTGTAGTGACTCCCTGAGACCCTGCCTCACCCAACTCATGTACCACATGAGGCTTTATCAGTGGCTGAACCTTAAGGGAACTGGAAGGTGGCAGCAGGCCTCTGGGTTTCCTGGCTTTTTGTGGAGTTACCTCAGGCCTGGTATTGATGGCAGCCACCCCCAGTTCTAAGCATGGCCTCTCCTCCATGCTTCCAGGTTTAGCACAGGCAGCAAACAACCATGGATCTTTTTGTAGTCCCTACCAGGTAGTCCCTGAAAATCATAGGCAGTGGCTGACCTGGGCCTGCAATGGAGCCCCTCCCAAGAAATAATAATAAAATGGCAATAGCTACCCATCTATCAACAATTACTTTCAATGCAAATGGATTAAATGATCCAATCAAAAGATATAGGAGGGCTAAATAGACAAGAAAACAAAACCCTTACATCTATTGCCTACAAGAGGTTCACTTCAGATTGAAGACACACACAGACAGAAAATAAAGGGATGGAAAAAGATATTTCATGAAAATGGAAATGAAAAAAAAAAAAAGCTGGAGTAGCAATACTTATGCCAGACAAAATAGACTTTAAAACAAAGGCTATAAGAAGAAACAATGAAGGACCCAGTAATCCCACTTCAGGGTATTTATCAGAAGAAACCCAAAACACTACTTCGAGGGGACGTGTGCATCCATATGGTCATTGCAGCATTGCTTACAATGGCCAAGATGTGGAGGCAGCCAGGGAGTCCATCGATGGAAGAATGGGTAAAGAAGAAGTGGTACATCTATACAGTGGAATATCACTTGGCCATGGAAAGGAATGGGCCTTGCCACCTGTGGCGGCATGGACAGATGTGGGAGGTGTTGTGCTGAGTAGAGTTTATCAGACAGAGAAAGACAAATGCAATGTGATTTCACTAATAGGTGGTGTCTCCGAATAAAACTAACAAGCAAATCAGAAACAAACTCTTAGATACAGAAAACATTTTGGTGGTTGCCAGCTGGGAGTGGGGTTGGGGTGTGAGTGAAAGAAAGGGAAGGGATTAAGAAGTACAAATTGGTTGTTACAAAGTAGTCATGGGGATGTAGGGTATAGCATAAGGGACATCATCAATAACATTGTAATAAACATGTATGGTGTCAGATGGGTACTAGACTTTTGGGGAGATAGATAGGAGGGGTATGTCGAGGGGCAGGGTGAAAAAGGTGA